GGGAAAAAAAATCCAAAGATTCTGATAAGAAAATCAATGATGCTATTTTATCTAGGTCACATTTGGAATTGATTTCAGTACAAAATACTTAATTGTCTTCTTCTATAATTCAAGTGCCATTGAGGATCACTTCCCAATATGATTGATATGTTGCTATTAAACCAAGACCTCAAAAAATCTTGACCACATTGCTTTTAGCTTTTAAATTGAAAGTATAATCTTTCTTGGAGGACTTTGTGAAATCTATGGCATTGATAAGAAAGAGATTACTGACATTGTCTAAAAATGGAAGTGCTGTTCTGAGAGAATAAACCTCTGGCTGAATGTGGTGAAAAAAGAATAAATAGAGAAGAAGAGAGAGATCAGGACCTTCATGCTTACCCCATCTTCTCGTGAGATGCTTGGTCATAGATTTTGTGTGTGTGTGTGTGTGTGTGTGTGTGTGTGTGTGTGTGTTTTACGGGGGATTGAACCCAGAGCACTCTACTAATGTTCTACATCCCCAGCCCTTTTTTATGTTTTGAGAACAGGGTCTTACTAAGTTGTCCAGGATGCCCTAAATCTTCTTCCTCAACCTCCTGAGTCACTGGGGTTACAGGTGTGTACCACTGTGCCCAGTAACCAAAACATTTTAGAAAGGCCTTTTGTTTGGATTCTGAGCAAGGAGTTGTTTGTATCCTGGGGTCCCCTAAGGTAGCAAGTGAATTCCTCAAGCTAGAATTCTATGAGATGGCCTGCTCTCATTTTCTTCTTTGGGGTCTTGAAATAGAATAGATAAGGTGACTTATAGCCTTCCCCGCCTCTCTAGCATACCTTCCAAACCATAGAAAGATAACTACATGAGAACTCCACCTTTGACTTTTGAATAAAACCAAAAGTACCAGCATGTTTTACTAAACTAGCCAGAGTAGATGGCCCTAAAAAATGACTATTATACAGAACTACATAAACAAATGACAACTGAAGAATAAGTGAGGTCCTTTTTTCCTGGATATGTGATATTTTATTCATTGGTGCTCATTATTAGTAATTAGATTATGGCTCAACAACCATGAACTGAGGTTAAATCCTTACCTGGATCTTCAGAGATGACCTTGAAAGAAATTTACGTAGATTGTAACAGTTTTTATGGGGGAAAAAAAATCTTAACACCTTCCAATTTGACCCTGCTGCTTATCAGAGGGTCTAGCAGTAAGAACCTCAGCTTCTTACTCATATTGGCATCTTGACTTTAGCCATTTCAAATTAAAACAGAAACTCTGGTGATCATTGTATCTAAGCTCAATTCAATCATTTGAAACACAAGTACCAAGAAAGATACTATAGAGAACCTCTCAAGCCTATTCACTACTATGATTCTTTGTATAGAGCCTTGGTTACCTGAAACAAATGGCAGCAATAATGCTTTTTGAACCTATTTTATAGAGCCATCAATTCCTTTGCTCTGTTGACTTCATCCTCTTTTAGATTTCTTAGTACCAGTGGTACCAGTTTATGTGGAAAGGAAGAGAAAAAACAGTATTAAAATTACTCCTTAAGCCAGACACAGAGGTGTACAGCTGTAGTCATAGCTATGTGGAAGGATGAGGCAGGAAAAGCACTTGAGCCTATGAGTTTAATACCAGCCTGGGCAAGACCATGAGATCCCATTTCAAGGGGAAAAAAAAAATTGCTGCCAAGAAGAAAAATGAGATGAGGTCACAGTACATAAAATAGTTTTTCCATGATCTAAATTTTTAGGCGTTGATACCCTTTAATTATTCTTTAGATTTGGAAGTTAGTATGATTGTATTCCAAGTAACCTCTAACAGAAAGATCATTTTTGTCAGTCATGAGACCTTCTATACATCTTTCTTTGGTGTTACTTATTCTAAAATTGCACTCTGCATTTAACAAGTATTTACTGTGGCCTGTTCTACTTTAGGGCTTGTACCCAAGGTTCTAGATATGCAGGAGTAAATAAGACAGATCCAGCTATACTTGTATGGAGTTTTTAGTATTGACATCCTGATGAAATGTCCTGTGGTGATACTCTATAGCTCAGAATACCATTGAATAGAATCTGAATCCCTCTGCCTTTATTTAGGATTTCAAATTAAAACCAATCTATTTAATAACTGCCAGAAGATTTAAAAATTATTATAAGCCTCTAAATCCAGTTCTATTCAAACCCTGTACTTCCTAAAGGCAGTTGCTATGGAAAGGAAAATGTATTAGACATTGTAGCTAAAACAGAATGTGGTTTAAATCCTGCTAGTTGTATGACTTGGGATAAATTCTTTCAGTTACTTAAATTCCCCCCCCCTTTTTTTTTAATAAGGCAGTAGGATTAAACGAGATTGGTATTAGGTTTAACCTAAAGTTTATTTGCTATTGCCATCCAGTGTTGCAGTAGAGGCAGGAATAGGATATCAAAAATGCAGAATACAGAGAATTCTAAGCAGGAATGATCCCTGTCAGATCAGCCTTACCTAGGAAAGGTAAGGGAATTTAAGTAACTGAAAGAATTTATTCCAAGGAGTTCCTTGGGATGCTGAGATCCCTAGACAAATGTTTTTAATTCCCATGGATCTCTCTTTTCTAATTCTCTCAAGTGTATTTTTATTTTGATAGGCCCCAGTCACCTTCCTTCCTCCCAACCACATCCAAGAAACTCTAGAAACCTTCAAATTAGGGGATCCCACCATAGCAGCCTTCCTCAGTGCCAAACCTTTCTTGATCCTTTTTCTCTGTTAAAAACCCTCCAGTTCTGGGCTGGGGTTGTAGCTCAGTGGTAGAGTGCTTGCCTCGAACGTGTAAGTCCCTGAGTTCGATCCTCAGTACCACATAAAAATAAACATATAAAAATAAAGATGTTGTATCCATCTACAATTTAAAAAACAAACCCTCCAGTTCTGTGTCCTAGTCAGTCTTTTTTTTTTTTGAATTTTAATATTTATTTTTTAGTTTTCGGTGGACACAACATCTTTGTATGTGGTGCTGAGGATCGAACCTGGGCCGCACGCATGCCAGGCGAGCGTGCTACCGCTTGAGCCACATCCCCAGCCCCACTAGTCAGTCTTTTTTTCCCTCTTTGTAGTTTATTAGCAAACCTGATGAAGTTGGGCTTAGACATGAATAACTTTAAATATATTTTCTGTCCTGGATAATTCAAATATTAATGTAGCCAAATATAGGAAAACATTTAGTCAAAGGACAATTTGTCACTCATCAAATTGAGTAAGCACCTAAAAGTGGCTAAGTTGGCACCACCAAGAAGCAAATCAGTACAGTCTGAATTTTGCTGTCAAATTTTTATTTATTTATTTATTTTTAAAGATATGTCTATTGCGCCAGACATGGTGGCACATACCTGTAATCCCAGCAGCTCAGAAGGCTGAGGCAGGAGAATCATGAGTTCAAAGCCAGCCTCAGCAAAAGTGAGGCACTAAGCGCCCTGTCTCTAAATAAAATACAAACTAGGGCTGGGGATTTGGCTCAGTGGTTGAGTGCCCCTGAGTCCATTCCCCAGTTCCAAAAAAAAGATAGATCTATTGCAATAAAAGGGGATCTCTTTCCTGAGGCAAAATAGAAGTCTTATTGGCAAGCCTAAAGCAAAAGACACCTCTGCAACCACATTATGTCAGGGAAAGAGACATTGTTTTACTCATTTTTCCTTAAGACATGGAAACATCAAGAACTCTCTGGAATTAATGTTTGAACAAAGTAGAGCTGGGAGTAGGATGGAGCAGACACTGTGCCTAATAATACTTTGTACCCTTGTGGTGCCATACTCTGGTAGGGGCTAATAAGGTAGTCATTGATTAAGTGAACTCTCATTTGTATGTGTCTGGATGCATCACATTTTATACCTTGGCCAGGGATGTAGTTGCCCTCCTGTGTGTGCTGTGCTATTGATGATTGTGCAGAAGCAACTTTTCAGAATTTGGGTGTTTGTGTTCTATAAATGTGATAGCACTACCAGTGGAGTCGGAACTCTGAATTATCCCAGGTTCATAATGATGATATCTTTAACCTACTGTAAGTTTCTGGCCTCTGGTATTTTTGTAATTCACTTAAGAGAAAAGCTTTTAAGATCGTCCTTAAAATATAGCTTTCTATCTGTGGCCTATTTAATTTAATCCATACATGATGGGAGTTTTGTTTTGTTTTGCTTTTTGTTTTTCGTTTGTTTTTTTCAGTACTAGGGATTGAACCAACGGCCTCACTCACACTAGGCAAGTGCTCTACCACTGAGCTACATCCCCAAACCTTTTTGATTTTGAGATAGGGTTTAATAAATTTCCCAGGCTGGTCTCACACTTGTTATCCTCCTGCCTCAGCCTCCTGAGAAGCTAGAATTAAAGGACTGTACCACCATGCCTGGCTCATACACAGTATTTTTAAGACCCACTTTCTAGTTCACTTCTTAATACTTGGACCTTGCATATTATGGAAGTGATCTAAATCTCCTTTATCTTCAGCTCTCCCTGCTATTAGGGAGATAGGGATGCTCTCCATTATTTTCCCGTGGGCTGTTTTTTTTATTTTCATTTTTCCTGTCTTTACCATATATTGAGGGCAAATTAATCTAAGATGCCATTTGTACATTAAGTCCTGCCTGTTCCTGCCTCAGCAGCCTAAATATTCACAAGCAGTGCAGTTCTCATTTTGTTCAATTGGCCTTTTCTAAGGTAATACTTTATTCCAACTTGGGGATCAAAAACTTGAGGAACATTTTAACTGGCTTTGGTTTTATTGACAATGGAATTGCAGTGGGTGGGCGTGGGCAATGCTTACAAGCTAAATAAAGGCTCTTGGTAAGAGCACATATGCTGAGGGTGCTTTAGCCCTCTTTCCATAGCAACTTTATCTGTAAGTTTAAGCATCTTCCTGGTGGCATAGTTAACAACAACAATAAAAGTCTCTGCTCCTGTACAGAACTGTTTGTCAGGCATTACCGGAACATATTTACTTTGATCCATCTCATTGTTTGTTTTTGTTTTCTTCTGTCTTTCCAGGTGGCATTGGCAGGGTGGTCAATGGAGCCTTCATGGTGCTGAAAGGGCATCGTTCTATCGTTAACCAGGTCCGATTTAATCCCCACACCTACATGATCTGCTCTTCTGGTGTAGAAAAGATTATCAAGGTGAGATTCTTCCCCTTCTGTCCTTTTGAAGAAATTAAAGATCTATAAAAATTCTCAATTTGACATATTATAAAATATTGGAAAATTTATATTAAAAATCCTCCTTTCAGTACTAAACAATGCACAAGTAATCTGGGCTGTTTCATTCCTGGCATGAAAACTTTTGGATATTAGAGAGACCAACAATATCCTAAGAATGTGATCACTAGGACTGATTATTTGTGAAATCCTTGTGAGAGAGAGAGAGAGAGAGAGAGAGTGTGTGTGTGTGTGTGTGTGTATGTGTGTGTGTGTGTGTGTGTTGATGGAGAATTGGGTGTGAGTGTTTTGAATATTCAGGCAACTTAAATCTATAAAGCCAGACTTTAAAAAGTTGTTTAGAATGTTATGTAACTTTTCAATATTCAGCTTTATTGTAGGAAAATGAAATAGTTTTACTTTTGTTTTGTTGTTTTTCAGATGACAGCTACCTAAAATAAAATGCTAGAAGTTTGAGATTAGCTTTAAATAAATGCAACTCCTCCTTTAAAAAAAACCCCTCCATTCAGAACTATTTGTAATATGTGTATTAAGAAATCAATATAGGGCCAGGTGCGGTGGCACACACCTGTAATGCTAGCAGCTTGGGAGGCTAAGACAAGAGAATCATGAACTCAAAGCCAGCCTTAGCAATGACAAGGCACTAAGCAAGTCAGTGAGACCCTGTCTCTAAATAAAATATAAAATAGGGCTGGGGATGTGGCTCAGTGGTCAAGTGTCCCTGAGTTCAATCCCCAGTACAAAAAAAAAAAAAGAGAAAGAAACCAATATAGTTTATATGCATCTCTTTTTTATTAGAAATATCTGTGCCTATGCATGTATATAATTCCAAAAAAAAGTGTAAGATGGCTTTTCTATCTCATTTTGGTGAAAGACCACAGACTAGTGAGAAGAACTACATATGTATGTGAATAAATTTCTACATTTTACATATATATGGACTTACATTGTAGATATATGCATATAGATATGTTCCCTAGATATCTCTTTGCATGTATATAAGCTAACTGTTTTTCAAACATGGCTGTTTTTAGGAGGAGGCCATACAGTTCTCAGCCTGGCATTAATGACCTCATAAACATCTCTAGACTTCCCAGAGCTGCTGATCCAAAGATCCCTAGCTTCCCTGTGGCTTGGATGACTCAAGAACCGTTTTTAAAACTAGTCACTAGGCTTTGAAGCAAATGGTGTCTTTTAGACACTACCTTGTATGCTGTTAGCATTTCCAGTGGCCTTTGAATATTTTCTTTTGGAGGACAGGGACTAAGGATTGATCCTAGGCGTGCTCTGCCAGCAAGTTCTATCCCCAGCCCTTTTTTATTTTTTGAAACAGGGTCTACCTAAGTTGCCAGGGCTGGTCTCAAACTTGGGATTTTTCCTACCTCAGCCTTCCTTTGATTTTGAGTTCTGCTTCTCCAACCTTACCTGGGTGGTTAGGAGAGCCACTATCCCTGAAGTGATTGTCAGAACCAAGATAAGTTGTCTCTGGATACAGCAAAAAAAATGTGGTTGTGATTGAGGCTACTTGTTTGTAAATACTAAACACATCAATTGCACATCAGCTGAATGAATATTTTTAATCTCCACAACAGAGGAACCCAGCCTGGCCTATGTCCACAAAAGGATAGCCCACTTCCCATCACTCACATTCCAGTTGCTAGTGACCCTTTTTCCACATCTGAGGAAATGAGAGTTCAGGAAAAATGAGAAATTTTTGAGAATCCTATAAAGTAACTTGAGTTAATCCCAAAATTTAAAGTTTTTAAATTTTTTTCTTAAAGTGATTTTGAAATGTGAGAAAGGTTTCAGAGAAAAAGTAAAAACTGGTTTGTGGTGATTTAGTAAATTTCCAACTATCTGGAATTAAATCAAGTTATACTTGATGGCAAGAGACAGCTATCAGAAATATTATATTGGTGTGTGGGTCAATATTTTTATTAGCTCTTAGTCCAACCTTCTCTACATAGGCTTTGTTAGTCCTGGGAATTAGGGCTGACTTTATTGGCTGCAATTGTTTCCCCAGAGAGATAGAGTGAGTCTTTTAGGTCATTTCTCCCAATTTTTTCTTTTTACAGGTGATGAAATTTAAATTATGAATTTAACTGTCTGAGGTCACACAGATAATTAGTTATAAAGCTATGATAGAGCCCTGTCCTTTGTTCCACCACATTCTCCATGCTGGGAGAAGGCAGCAGACAGCCTGATTTGATCATCTCAATATTCCTTCATTTGGGCTGTCATTGAAATGGCCCTGCCCCTTACATTGCTTTCTCCTCTCCTTTAGCCTATGACTAATCGGTTGGCTCTATAATGTCCTCTCTAGGCCTGTTGAAGTCAATTCTTTCTTTCAGAGAGCTCTGTGCTTGGGCATCTCCTTTAGAAGAGAATTCCTGTTTGGCTGCGTACTCTGGGATGCTTCTATGCTAAGTCTCCCCAGTTATTGTTTAGTCAATTGAAGTCCTTACCCTAAAGGTCATAGGTTGGAGACTAGCCAGGTTCTCAAGAAAGAGAAGAAAATGTTTTCTCTGTGAGGTTATCCAGACTGAGCTATGGAGCTCACTGCTTCCAGGTTCCCATAGGAACCAGGAGTTGTTTAGCCATTTGAAACCTTAAGTATGCACAGATGACCACAGTGAGACTGAAAGCTGAAAGCTCTGGAGTGCTCAGCTTTGCTCTCTCACAAGTATCTTCCCCATTCACCATCTGGTTGGGAATGGTGTGATGGAGGGGAGGTGAGAAGGAGGAGGATGAGACACCTAGTACAGCGCTGCAGCTACTGCCTTTGCTGATGCCTACATCACCCTGAAAAGTGCCAGTGAGTCTCAGCACTTGGATCAGTCTCCCTCTGTAAAGTGAGGACTTGAGACACCCAGGAGTGCCTTGGGAATGACCTGTGCATGACAATTTCTATTTTAATAAATTTTCTATTTTAATAAATAGAAATTTCGTAAATAGACCCACTTCTGAGAGAGTCAAAAGGCTCAAAGAGTTCTCACGTACCGTGTTCTAGTCCAGCCTGAGACTTGCTTTTCTCTTTCCACTCTACCTTTTCCTTGCCCTTATCCTTTGCTGCTACCTTTTTTTTTAATACATTTATTTTATTTTTATGTGGTGCAGAGAATCGAACCCAGGGCCTCACATGTGCTAAGCAAGCGCTGTACCGCTGAACCTCAATTCCAGCCCCTGCTGCTACCTTTTTAGCCTAGAGAAGAATCTCTCTCATCAGGGCCCGTATGTTCTCACCCATAATAGGCCTTCTGCCACTGAATGCCCACACAAGCCTAATGAGGAGGTTCATTTTATGGTTAAACATGTGAAGGAATGAGGCAAATCCTGGCTTTCTTCCCACCGCCCTCAAAGCTCAATATTCATTATTCATCCCATGTTTGTGATGTACCTACAGTGTGCCATTTGTGCTAGGCCTTGTGGGGAACGTAAAATGGTAACACAGATCTCCCTAGGAATTGATGACCCAGTAGAAAAGTCAAAAAAGACAATGGGAAATGCAGTGTGTGCACAGGACAATATAAACAAAGTTTTGTGAGAGAAAGAAGAGATTTTTCTCATCTGGGGTAATTTCAGTATAGGTTAATATTTGAGCTAATTTTGAAGAATAAATTAAAGACCTCAAAAGGAAAGAGAAGCAATATGGGAAGAACATTCCAAGAAAGGGCTTGTATATTTATTTATTTATTTATTTTCCAACAAATATTTATCAACTACTATGCATTGTGCTTATGAATAAATTATTGCATTTGGCCAAAGTAAAGAGGACCAGAAGAAGGTGGGTCTAGGAGATAAGGCCATGAAGGCAGACTGTGGACAGGCCCAGACAGTGTTGGAAGCCACATTGAATGTGATAAGCCCTTGAATAACAATTTAGGACCTTATCTTTACATTTCCTTGGTTGTAGACAAATTCTAAATTCAGTGTAACCACTCAAGGAGAACAAAGGGCTTTAAGTTGCTTCTTCCATGTCGTGGTCACTCAGTAGCTCACTTGCCACTTAATTGATCATTTGGATGATATGTGAATAAGAATTGAGCTTCATCCTTTTTCCTCAGCAGCTCTTGAAAAAAACTCTTCACAAGGCTTAGAGAACTAGTTGTCATTCTTCTTCCTTTTCTCAGAGTGTTGCCCCACAAAGAGGCATACCTAGCCCCCTAGCCACATTTAATAGACAACAGGAAGTTGTTTTTTTCTTTGCCTTATTTCTAAGTTATTGACTTTCAGGATAAAGAAATGAACAATTTCACAAATGATTGAAATTGATGTTTTAAGGATGAAGACCAAGATCATAGGGACAGTCAATATTTTTGATGTACAAAACTCTCTCTGGGGGTGGGTCTAAATCTTTGTGGTTGCGGTATTCAGTCACCAAATGAAAGAAGAAGCATGTCTGTTGGTGCTTGAGTATAGATTATGCATTTCATCATTCTTATTTCTACAGATGAGAAATAGAGGCTTTCAAGACTGAAGTCATTTGCTCAGGGTCATGAGAAGTGGTGGGGCTAAGGTTCCTGCTCATCCTGTAGCTCCGTAACTTCCTTGTTGAAGTCTGGCTGTTTTGTTTTACTCTGGATCAGGATTAGATGAAAATCCATCTGATTCCCTGGTTAGGTGAGGGATCTGAGCCTTCCTCAGGATCACCAGCTGGCTCTTACCTCTTGATCCTGTTTTGTTCCATTACCACAGTCTTCAGGAATGGACTGTCTGCCTCCGTTGAATACATTCCAGGGCCCAAACAAAAGCCAATTTTCAGTGTTGTGATTTTCATTCCTGAAGTGAAAACATTGGGATGGGAGACTGGGTAGATTGGAACCTTAAAAAGGTTTGCAAAGTAGTTAGGCCAACATCTCACCATTATTATTTTGCACTACTGGTAACAAATTCAGAGTTTCTTTGAAAGACAAATAGATTTCTCTTCATATTAGGGAACATGGTTGATAACATTTTACCTTTTTTTTTTTTTTAATTGGGGTTTGAACCCAGGAGTGCTTAACCCACTGAACCACATCCCCAACCCTTTTTTATTTATTTAAATTTATTTATTTATTTGTTTGTTTGTTTGTTTGTTTATTTATTTATTAGTACTGGAGATTGAACTTCAGGGGGCACTCGACCACTGAACCACATCCTCGGCCCTATTTTGTACTTTATTTAGAAGCAAGGTCTCACTGAGTTGCTTAGGGCCTTTTTGCTGAGGCTTGCTTTAAACTCACGATCCTCCTGCTTCAGCCTCCCAAGTTGTTGGGATTACAGGTGTGTACCATCCTGCCTGGCACCCTTTTGATTTTTTTATTTCGAGACAGGGTCTCACTAAGTTGCTTCAGGCTTCAATAAATTGCTGAGGCTGGCATTGAACTTGCGATCTTCCTGCCTTAGCCTTCGAGTCACAGGGATATCAGGCATGTACAAATGGCTCATTTTGCCATTTGTAAATTGTGGAGATGAGAGACTTAGCTCAAAATTAATAATAAGATTCACCTTGGGAGGCTGAGGAAGGAGGATGGCAAGTTCAAAGCCAGCCTCAGCAAAAATGAGGCACTAAGCAACTCAGTGAGACCCTACCTCTGAATAAAATACAAAATAGCACTGGGGATGTGGCTCAGTGGTTGAGTGTCCCTGAGTTCAGTCCCTGGTACCAAAAAACAAAAAAATAAGACCCAAAAAACATCCTAAGAAGTTGACCTTTTGGACCCCTCTGCTTCCTTTCTAAGCCACTAAACTTTTAGTCCCTTAAGTACTTTTCTACAGAGATAGTCATCTATAGCTTGAGCCTTATGCTAGATGTCATGTCTAAATGTTTCCCAAGAGTGGGTCTTTCAGAGTCAATCTTGTAGTTATTCTTCAGGAGATTCTTGGGCACTCACGTTTAAGAATAAGTGCCTTAAAACTCCTGGTGAGATTATGAATCCAGAGAGGGGAAGATACCTGGGAAGAGGAATTGTGGACAGTGAATAAAAATAAATCTGATTTGGAAATTGGTGGGGAGAAGCTATTCTAGAAGTTTTCTTCCGTGTCCTTTGAAATGAGAATACTCCAAAGAAACACCAGCTCCCAGGAATTGCCAAGTAAAGCACAACAGGAATTAGCCCCATAAAGTTCCCACAAGAAGGTGAATTTGTCTTCTGATAGCTTTAGGGCAAGAAAACTTTTGTCTTGATAGCAGATGGGGAATGAGAGACCACTGTTCTCTGGGTTGGATGCCATCTAAAGATAGACACCAGCCTGTCAGGCAAGAAAATCGCCTGGAATTTCATTGAGTTGCCATGGCTACATGCTGATGTAACTGAGCTTCTCTGTGCTGTTTTGTGGACTAGTCTGGGAGTCAGGTGGAGCTAATCCTTCTCTTTTGCAGTGACAGCTTAATTACCTTGAACTTGATTTTTGCATAATTTATCCAGGATGTAAAGTTGGGCCTTTGAATCAGACAGCCCTGAGTTGGAATCCTAGTTCTGCTATCTTTTAACAATGAGCCCATGTCCCTGACAGCAGAGTGGGAAGTGTTAAGGGATAGGGCTGCAGTAACCTCTATTCTTGCAGTTAATAGAATAACTGGGGAGAAAGCCAGTAGCTCCCTGGTTAAGAGAACCCAGTTTCCTGGGTAACTGATGCCTGCATGTCCGAGAAGGAGCTATAGTGTTGGAGTTGGCTATTCTTATCAATCACCAGTAAGCAATTCCCATTAGCTAAAAAATAGAAATGTTCAAGACTGGGCATGGTGTCACACACTTATAGTCCCAGCTACTAGGGAGGCTGATGTGGGAGAATTGTGAGTTTGAGGCCAATCTGAGCCAACATAATGAGACCCTCATCTCAATAAAATGTAAATGTTGCTGGTGAGAAGTGGAATTGTAGGCTGAAATATTAACTGTCACAGAATTTCTGACTGCTGGTTTTATTTTCACTTTAGAAAAGTGGTCTCTCTGTACTCGGCTTCAACCTGCTGAAAGTTTTTAACACTTTGGCCAATCTTTAAGATATCTTGTTTTTCATCTATGTAGATCTGGAGCCCATACAAGCAGCCAGGATGCACCGGAGACCTGGATGGCCGAATTGAGGACGATTCCCGCTGCCTCTACACCCACGAAGAGTACATTAGCCTTGTGCTGAACAGCGGAAGTGGCCTGTCGCATGACTATGCCAACCAGTCGGTCCAAGAAGACCCCCGGATGATGGCTTTCTTTGACTCTCTGGTACGCCGAGAGATTGAGGGCTGGAGCTCTGATTCAGACAGTGACCTCAGTGAAAGTACCATCCTTCAGCTACATGCAGGGGTCAGCGAGCGCTCAGGCTATACTGACTCTGAGTCTTCAGCCTCACTGCCCCACTCTCCACCTCCCACAATAGATGAGTCTGCTGACAATGCCTTCCATCTGGGTCCCCTGCGAGTCACCACTACAAATGCAGTGACATCAACCCCACCAACACCCACGTGTGAGGATGCAGCCTCTCGCCAACAGCGCCTGTCTGCTCTGCGTCGCTACCAGGACAAGCGCCTCCTGGCCCTGTCCAATGAGTCTGATTCTGAAGAGAATGCCTGTGAGGTTGAACTAGACACAGACCTCTTCCCCCGACCACGATCACCTAGCCCTGAAGAGGAATCCAGCAGTTCCAGCAGTTCCAGCAGCTCAGAGGATGAGGAGGAGCTGAATGAACGCCGAGCCTCCACCCGACAGCGAAATGCCATGCGGAGGCGACAGAAAATACCCAGAGAAGAGAGGCCCAGTGCCCCAGCCAAGCCCACCAACACCTACATTGGAGAAGACAACTATGATTACCCCCAGATTAAAGTGGATGACCTTTCCTCTTCCCCTACCTCCTCCCCTGAGCGGAGCACTTCCACTCTGGAGATTCAGCCAAGCCGGGCATCACCAACTTCTGACATAGAATCAGTTGAGCGAAAAATTTATAAAGCTTACAAATGGCTGCGCTACTCCTATATCTCCTACTCAAATAACAAAGATGGAGAGACTTCCCTGGTGACAGGAGAGGCAGATGAAGGGAGAGCAGGAACCAGCCACAAAGACAGCCCAGCACCTTCTTCCAGTAAGGAAATCTGCCTAAACACAACCATGGTCCCGAGGAACCAGGACCTGCCACCTGAAGGCTGCAGTAAGGATGCTTTTAAAGAAGGGACTTCCACTAGAAATCCCAGCAGTGTCCCAGGCTATGAGCACAGCAGCCAACCTTGGACCGAGGCACCAGAGGGTACCTCTCAGGACGGTAACAATGGTGGCTCTGTAGAACACTCATTTGAAACCAAGAAGCTCAATGGAAAGGCCCTGAGCAGCCGGGCTGAGGAACCACCCTCTCCTCCTATGCCCAAGACATCGGGCTCCATTCTCAACAGCGGGTCTGGAAACTGTCCGAGGACCCAGTCTGATGACAGTGAAGAAAGGAGCCTTGAAACCATCTGTGCCAATCACAACAATGGACGCTTGCACCCCCGACCCCCTCACCCCCACAACAATGGGCAGAACTTTGGGGAGCTAGAGGTGGTGGCCTACTCTTCCCCAGGACATTCAGACACTGACCATGATAACTCATCCCTGACAGGGACACTCCTACACAAAGATTGTTGTGGGTCTGAAATAACCTGTGAGACTCCTAATGCTGGAACAAGAGAGGAGCCCACTGACACCACAGACAGCAGCAGGGCTGTTCATGGCCACAGTGGCTTCAAAAGGCACCGAGTCGAATTGGAAGACACAGATTCAGAGAATTGCTCCTCAGAGAAGAAATTTAAAACATGATAAATACAAAGGGAAAAAAAGCTACAAAAAGTAGCCTTACAAAAAAAAAATTCTTGTTTAGTGAACACAGAGGAAAGGGAAAGAAGTATTAAAGGCACATAAAACCAGGGCCTGAAATTTTGTTTCTGCTGCTGCTCCCTTCTATTCAACATTCAACAATGGGTCTGAATGTCTAACTGGCCATAGGCTTGTGCTGTGTAAAGAAAAGGGGGAAAATCCAAGTTATTCCTTTTCTAGTGAGTTGTGAGCATAGTGTACCTGTGCAAGGTTCTGTGAAAGTGAATCCTTGTTGGGATGTTTGATTTTGTGTGAGTGTGTGCACTGGCGTGTGTGAGCTCATTGTCTCATGAGACCTTTCTTTTAGTTGTCGGGGTCTATAGTTTTTGCCATCTCACCCTGTTCACGTGTCATAGGTGTTCTGGTCTCAACGAGGAGCACCTGTTCAATCAGATTGTGCTGCCAGTGAGTTGTAGACTTGAGCTGAGAGCATGGAGAGGAGAGTAAAACAGGCCTGCAGCCCATGGGCTGTGCTGGAAAGGAAAGCATGGTTCCTTTCTTAAAAAGAAATATTCCATGTTTTCTCTAAGTAACACTTCTTCATTGAGCATTTAATGTGGACATACTAAAAGTGGAACATTTTTAATGCTAATGGAGGTTAGCACTTATGATCTGATTCAAGAGCCTATAGATCCCTGATAAATTTCTCTGTTTGCAAATCGAGTGATGCTGCAATATGTACTGTATGGAGGCCATAAAATATGACTAGTTGTGGATAATACATTAACCAGTTAGGTGCTAGTTCCTAAAAGGCACTCAAAAGGCCAGCAGGTGCTTCCTTGGCTCCATGTGATGGAGTTTAGACATACTGAAGGGAGGAGAAGAGACAGCTCTCAAGAGCTTTGTGCTCAAACTACTAAGGTGGATGTTAGAGGTGTGTAAATGAACCAGTGTAGTGAAGAGCAGAATGTGCTACTATGTTCTTTTAATTCAACCCAAAACTATTCATCAGAATTGGTGGGACTGGCATTTATTTTCCCCCAGGCTTGCCCTTGACAAAGACTATGACGTTCTGACTGAACGTCACAGTGCAGCAGGCATCTCAAGCTGACAGATTCAGCAGGACCATCGGGAGGCAGAGGGTATGTGCAGAGGAGTCACTGGTTTGACAACTGGCTTCTGGAAGAGACTGAATTCCATGGAGGCAGATAATGGTTGAGAGAGGAAAAGTCCAAGAGATTTTCAGCCTTGTGGTGTTACCGTCACTCAGTTATCAAGGTAGGCTGTGTGAGACAGGAAGACCTAGGAATGACCAAATGTCTTGTTAGCATATGTGTCACATGTGGAGGGTAGAATGCTGGCAAGAAATGAGGGAGAGAGAAGAGTTTAACTTTCTTGAGCACTAAGGTGCTAGATACCTAGGAGCCAGCTGGGATTATCATAAGGACCTAACTGGAGACTACTGTGGCCTCACTGACCCAGCATTCCTCTTAGACGAGGACCTGTCCTGATGGAACTAGGACCAAGGGGAGGCCACCTGAAGACTTGGATGAAATCAGGCTCTTGGGGAGATGGTTCTTCAGAAAAGGAAAGTGGTTGGCAAGTCGAGAGGAGATGACATGTCACTAAACTTCGCGGAAGGTCGGACGTGCCTAATATATGTGTGATGTGACTGGGGTCCACACTAGCACTGTTTTAGGCGAGGGAGGTGGAGCAGGAGCAGAGTGAGGATGCATCCAATTCAACGACTGGACTCTTACTGGGGGAGCAGGACAGCGATTCTGTAACCAACATTAGAATTACTTTGGATTTGTAATCAAAATGGTTCTATGATTTGTCTTTGACTATTCACAGATAATTGTAAATTCTGGTTTTATAAGCCCAAGTCATTTTACATTTGCTTTTCCAAAATGTATTAAATTGAAAATTTTTACTCCTTTATATACAAAAAAAGATATAACCACTCACTGTGTGTTTCTCTTCCCCTTCTTAGTACACCCAACCCTTATGTTTTGTTTGATTTTAATCTACTCACCAGGTAGCCTCTTCTGGCTTCTGTAAAGACAATCCACATATCCTCCTGGAGAAAAAGAAGTTAAATTCCCTTGGGAACTTGCTATTGGTAGTTATAGTTGCCAAAAGCAGAGCTTGGTCTTTCTTATTAAAAGCCTTTATTTCACTTGATTACTCAGAAGAGAAGTCAAAATTCATTTTGATTAATGTTAGAAGCCAAGAAAAATCATTGTTAGAAGGATGACTTCCATCCTTGGGAAAGACATCCCAGCATTACAGATTCAGCTGAGACATACAGGCCCCATGACATAGCCACTGGAGCAGGCTGAGAAATGTATGTCTGTGGCCACTCCATCCTCACTTCCAGGGATCTTGTATGTGTGGCTGTGGTCCTAGAAATCAAGAAAGGAACTACTTCTCAGTTCTCTTTGCTTAAACTGTTATAGAATTGAGGCCCCAAATTTAGAGGTGCATTTAATCCCCAAATTCTTCCACAATGGTATTTTTACTAGCAGAGCAGATAGCACTGATAAGATTAAGAACTATTTGAAAGTACCTCTTGGGTTTTTTCCTGCATCTTGTACATAAAGTTTTAAGTAGCAGGTCTAAATATGTAAAACTGTGTCTCTCCACTGTTTCCCATCTGGTTTTGTAAATGATTCTTGAGGACAGTAGGTAAATGGTTAAATGAGTTGTTGGCTTGGGGCAAATGAAGTTTGCAACTGTGCTTGACTTAGCTGAGAGTCTCCTGTTGTCTGTCCAGGTGCCTTCCTCTGCTGAAGCCTTACCTCCTCACAGCCCTGCCTCTTTTCACCCAGCAACGTTAACTCTTCTCTTGTGTATATGCAAATAAACCTGTTATTCACTTCTCTTGTCTTCCTCTTCTCTTCCTGGGAAGACTTGGTTGCCTAGACACCCCTCTTCCTTTAATTCTTGTTTTAATTTTTGCCCAGTTGGAAATTTGATCCAATACCTTGCTGAAGACTGAAAGACAAACTCTACATCCATGACAATGGTCATTGTCAATTCTAAGTATTGGGACCAAAGTCACATCTGACAAGAAAATGTAGGATAGGAAGGTGGGTATCTATTTGATTTCCTTTACCATGCTAACCAGAACTCAGGATGGTGAAATCCGAAACTGACTCTCCCCCCCCGTACTGGGGATTGAATCCTGGGGTGCTCTGGGCTACATCTCCACTTTTTTACACTCATATTAGTTGGAACTTAGGGAGTATTACAGTAGAGTGACGTAACAAACACCTCACCCCAATTATGGTTTCTTATGTTTCCAAATATCAAATTGCTTTCCCTGATCTGTCTCAGGCATGCATTGTGAACTTTTTTTAGTACTGAAAATTGAATGCAAGGTCTTGCACGTGCTTTACCACTGAGCTACATCCCCAGCCCACAGACTTTTTTTCCTTTAAAAAAAAAAAAAAGTGGCAAAATTCATATGCCCTGCCTGTAAAGTGGTTTACTGCGGTTAACCAAAAAGTTCTTGCCAACTAATACTCTTGTCAGGAAAACAGATACTTCCAAAGCACAGTTGTCCTTCCCTTATGACCTGAGCAAGGCCTTGCAATAGGGTGGAAACATCAAGATATGTGGAGGCTCAGTGAGTCCCAGACTTGCCCCCAGCAGCAGGATCATGGCTTTAGACAAGTGGTGTTGTCAGGTGGGGTGTTTCAGTCAGAGTGCTCATTTGTTCTTGAGCCCCATGCTGGAATGAAAAGACATGAATTCAAATAAAAGTTATTTTGAATTTGTAAAAAGAATCAGTGTTTCTTATGTAGATTGTAAATGAAAAATCTGATCCATATGCACCCTAATTGCTTTTACTGTTAATACAAAGGTAGTTTGATATTTCTCAGGATGGAGGTTCAGGCAAGGTAAGCTTCAGCCGGCCCTGCACTAATATGGTTAGGGACAAGCAGGAGGATCAGTTCCTAACAGAGTCTACTTGGGCTCTACACAAGTTTTATGCAGAGCTATGGTAGTATCATGTTGTAAGAAAATATTCAAAATTACTGAATTTTGAAAATGAATTTTTTCATGGGCCCAAAGCCTTGAGCTCATGGACTCTCTAGCTGAAGTACAGAATGCCAACTTCAAATCTGCCTCTGTCAGCACTCCACCAAAACTAGGGAAAGAGTAAAACACTAAGATCCTTGGGTGCTCCCACAGAGTCCTCAGGCATGAGCTAAGTTCTTGTGGTGTAGGGATGTTAGGAGGGAAGACATTCAGGGGGAAGGTGATCAAGAAGACTGCAATGGAAGAAATGAAGAGCTGGCTGGGTTCAAGAGCTTCCTGGATTCATATTAACTATCATTTAGTGTGCCTTGGGACTGGCATGGTCTAAAACACTTGGTCATCAAGATTCTCCAACCAAAATCCCCAAGCATAATCCCTAATTTATAAAGGAGGTCAAAAAATGTGGTGTTGGTTTGGAAGTAATTATCTACAGATCTCTTTACTAGGGTACATAAATACCATGGCGGAAGGGGGAGAGTGTATAATGACCCAGACATGACATACTTAAACACGCACCAGAAACGTGTGTGGTGGTTAGTGATTGGCATAAGCTCTCATAGGGTAACATACATCTCCCTACTCGATTATCCCTAGACTGATAGTGGCAAAAATTTGAGGCTTGCCCTAATCTCCTTTTTTTCACTTATTTTCTCTTCATGTCTCAGAGACGGTATTTTCTAAGATCCCACCTTAAGTAGTTAAGGTTAATTTCTTTCCTAAGAGACTTGTGAGTAGGAATGGCTCTGAACTAACAAGAGAATTCTAGACCTGTTTTTCAATGAATTGCTCTGCCTGGGCCTTGGGCAGGTCACCTAATCTATTGGGAACTGAAATAGATCCCTCAGATTCTAAAATCTGACTTCTTCCATTACAATCCCTGTGATCAAAGGGTTCTCTAGATCCCACTCTGAGGAATTTTCATTTTTGGGATAGGGGAATACCAAGAGATTGAACCCAGGGGCACTTAACCACTGAGCCACATCCCCAACCATTCTTATTTTTTTCCTTTGAGATAGGGTCTCATTAAGTTGCTCAGGTCCTTGCTAAATTGCAGAAGTTGGCTTTGAACTTGCCATCCTTCTGCCTCAGCCTCCCAAGCCTCTGGGATTATAGGTGTGCCACTGTGCCCAGTGAGTGCTTATTTTCGAAACATCTGTTTACTACCCACCAGAATCAGTTGGCAAACTAAGATCTTCTGGCAAATTACAACTGCTCAGAGTTGCAAACTTATCTGTAAAATGGGGAGAGTGCCTACACCAGGAGCACATTCTCAGAGGGTTGAATGAGGACATAAACTATAAAAGCAAATCAGCAGTGGCACACACCTGTTGTCCCAGCTACTGAAAAGCTGGAGTGAGAGAGTCACTTGAGCCCAGGAGTTTTGAATATAGCCTGACAACATAGTGGGATCCCATCTCAAAAAATAAATAAATAAATAGGCTGAATGTAACACTTAAAATTATATATAATTTAATATCTTAAAATAATCCCTGATGAGGGTGGGGGTTAGGGCTCAGTGGTAGAGTGCTGCAAGTGTGAGGACTGGGTTCAATCCCTGGCACCACATAAAAATAAAAACAAAGGTATTGTGTCCACCTACAACCTAAAAATATATATATATATTAAAAAAAAATAGAGCTGGGAATGTGATCGAGTGCCCCTGAGTTCAATCCCCAGTACTCTAAAAAATAAAAAATCCCTGATATATAAAAAGCACTGAAAGGTTTACTATCATTAGCACATCTTTTTTACTCTCGTTGCTTGTTGCTACTTATATACCTCCCACATAGAAGGCTTTTTTGGATGGGATCTGTCAAGGGAAATAAAGTAAGCTGTTCAGAGAGATAACTTACTATTTAAGCAAATCTTCTGAAAAAGAGTAAATTGCCGAGTTCACTGGCACACACCTGTGATTCCAGCAGCTCAGGAAGCTGAGGCAGGAGGATCTCAAGTTCAAAGCTAGCCTTAGCAAAGGTGAGGTGCTGAGCAACTCAGATCCTATCTCTAAATAAAATATAAAATAGGGTTGGGGATGTTGCTCAGTGGCCGAGTGCCCCTGAGTTCAATCCCCAGTACCAAAAAAAAAAAAGTAAATTATCTTCATTATAACGGACCTGACAAAGCTGAGTTTGGGGCCTTTGGCACCATCTCTGACTTGAGGAGCCAACTCCATCTGAGAGCTGGGAGATTTAAAAAAAAAAAAAAAAAAAAAAAAGCCAAGCCTGACTGACAAAGGCCTCATCAATCCTTGCTTATGACAGCAAATCTGCAGGGGTTGGGGTGGGGGCAACAGATTTTACTAAACTCTAGTCTTAATATGGTGGTTCTGGAGATGACCCAGACCTCAGCCGCTTGGACAGCAAACTTCTTTGGCCTTCACTCTGACCTGGCCCAGAGCCAGTGCTAAGAGAACCAGGAAAGGGGTAAGCCATGGAAAAGTTCTGTGTGTGCCAAAGGACAATGTTGACTGGAGTTTTCCATGCAGGGTGTTTGTGTGTGTGTGAATGTGTGTGTAAAATACTCTGTACATCTGATTCTAGAAGAAGCTAAGCCAAAAAAAGCCAACAGGGAAGTCTGACTAAGCCAAAGCCGGCCCCAAAGTTCAGTGCTGGCCCCCAATCCTCAGGACAGAGCTGGAGGTCCAGGAACACAGGCATGGCACTTGGAGAGGGCAGGTAGAGAAATGTGAGAGGGAAGGGTTTTGCCTCGTTAGTGGAAAAGAAGCACTGGAATTACACTTAGAGGAACAAGCTTTTCAATTAAAACACATCTGCCAGAAAAAAAGCCAGCACGTGGCGGGGGAATCTGAGAAGGCATAGAGTCAAGGCCTAAAGAAGTCTTTTTGGGTTTGCCCTGAAGGAGGTGTGTATGTGTATGTCGGGGGTGGCGGGGAGCAGTTAGCTGCATCATCTTGTTCCACTCCTTCATTTTGGAGATGGAGAGGCCAGGGCCAGTTAGTGGTGGGCCTGGCCTCTAAAGCTAGTGCTCTTCTCACAGCTGGCTGCTTCTTGGATGTGGTTCCTGGTGGAGGAAGGTGCATACCTGATTTCCCCACCTACACCCAGTGTGACTCTGGCTGGGGCTTTGATTACAACATGCAGCAATAGCAAGAGATTGAAAATGTCTTGTGAAGAGGCAGATTCAACTGAGTAGAGCCTTTGGCAAACAAAAGAGAGTCAACCAAGCTGGTACCACCCTTTCCCCTAGAAAAACCACACAAAGTCCGATGCTCAGGTCCTGTATCTCTGTGGGCTCTGACCACTGTGGGTTGCTGAATGCTGTCCTGGTGTTTCAGCATCTGGAAGATGTAAATAAATCCTTTGGATGGCTTTCAGAGAAGAGTAATAAACACACTGGGAGACTGGAAGAAAGATAAAAGGGATCAGAGGATGGGAGCTGAATTTTTTAGGTTTTAGGTATGCAGGAGCATAAGAATAAAACATTGTCTTTCAAGTTGTTTAAAAAAAAAAAAAAAAGAGGAAGGACAAGTTTAAAATAAAATCTGCCCAATTGCAGGCCCAAGAAAACTGGCTCAAATCGACATTTTCTTCCTTTTTTTTTTTTTTAAGATGGACACAATATCTTTATTTATTTTTATGTGGTGCTGAGGATGGAACCCAGTGCCTCACATGTGCAAGACAAGTGCTTTACTGCTGAGCTATAACCCCAACCCCATCGATATTTTCTTCTTGACAGCAGTCAAGAAGAAAGATCTTTTTTCCTAAACTCCTGTGATAAGCAGTTTGTAGTTCATATTCCTTTATCTTTATCCCAGTGTTAAACATCCCTGCTTCACAGGGAACCGCAGAACTTTGTTCCTTGAGCAGTTGTCTGG